GTGTTTGTGGGGCAGTGTGTGTATGGGGGGCAGGGTATGTAGTGTGTGTATGGGGGGCAGTGTTTGTATGGGGGGTAGGAAGGCTTTTTTTAAATTTAATTTAATTTAAATAAATATATTTATGTCCCCCCTCCCTTCTTACCTTTACTGGGAGTAGGGGGGACATTCTGGATCCCTGGTGGTCCATGGGGAATCCCTGGTGGCCCAGTGGGGAGAGGGCTAGAGTTCACTCTCGCGAGAGAGGCTGAGCTCCCGGGTCCTCTCTCTCTCCCTCCCCTGCCGGCTGTAGCACGGTGCCTGCACAGTGGGGAGGGAGATCTCTGATCTCCCCTCCGGTCCTTGAAGGCACATTGCAGGGCTGGCACTTGGACAATGCCAGCCCTGCATTAGCCGGCAAGGGAGAATCTCGGGGGGGGCAATCCCCCCGTTGCCCCCCCTCCACCCCCGGATCCGCCACTGGGTTTAGCCCTCTTTTATTTCATACCTGAATAGTATTGGTGGTCCATGTACTATAGGATGTGTTTCTATGCTTTTACCACCTGAACCCATAAAGACCATAGATCAAAGAGTAAGCAGAGTGACCATGGTACTCCCCCAGATTGTAATTCTAATGTGCATATTTTATCCTAAAGAGATCCTGTCATTAGCCTGCTCCTTGTTGGGAGTAGCAAGACCATTATAAACTAGGATGTGCTATTGCCATGTCCCTAAACTCCACCTCTGAAGCTCTGGTGGCATTGAATCAGGAACTAAGGTACATAAAGCAACCTTGCAAAACCGTGCTGCTACAGAATATTTTCTTCCAAAGCACAGTTATGGGTTTGTACACTGTGAAGGAATGTGCTATATCAATTTGACTGACAATTCTCATCTGTTGGAAATGAAAATGAAGAGCTAGCCAGTGCATAGCATTAAGCACTAAGCAGGGTATGTAAAGGGGAATATGGTACTGGCTCTCTTCATGGTTACCTGACATGCAATGGCTAAGAGCACTTATAGGAAGGATTATGGACTTGTTATCGTAACAATTGCAACAACATGTGCCTCTAATTTGTTTATCTGTATTGCAGGTGGGCCGAATCTTTAACCCCTTAAGGACACATGACGTATGACATGTCATGATTCCCTTTTATTCCAGAAGTTTGGTCCTTAAGGGGTTAAATGACCCTCTGCAGGTCAGGAGTGCATTTCTTATGTCCCAAGGAAATGGGGTCCACTGTTATAATGGTGGATTTTGAATGAACATACGATGTGAGATTGTTCATTCGTTCAAGTGGAGGGACTGTGGCAAATATCCATATAGTTATATAACGCTGAAATGCAAACCAGTATGATCCAACTGTTATATTGGATAAGCTTGCAGTCTAGTAATAGAAGGGTTAATAGGCAAAAGTGTGTGATCAGCAATATCATTTTACTTGTTGCTTGTTGCGAATCAAGGCCAACTGATATTACTTCTGCCCCCTCTCCCCTATAAGATAAGGGTATGTGTACCACACAAGCATAATAGGGTCAGTCTCTGGTGGGCAACAAGCTTTCAACAAAAGTGACCAAATTATAGGAAAATGGTTAGAAGTGTCATCTATCAAAATTTAGCATCTATGTTGGTCTGGGCAGAGGGGAAAGATTTTCAGTTCTTTGGAATATACATGCGTAAGGCTGCACAAACCCTAAAGATTTACTGGGATTCAATATATTTTAAAACATTTTTTACCAGGAAGAATTAATGTACTCCTATCACAGGTTTTACTCAGCTACCATTTATTTTTAGATTCCCTGCTATGCATCCCCATGGCACAGCAGTTTAGTACAATTTTAAAATGGTTTCATCAAGCATATGGCAGTTTAAAGTTTAAACTTTTATGCATCTACTCTGATCACTCACAGACATCAGCCAACACATACAGGCATTGCCAGTAGAATTAATTGATTTTAAATGGCAAATTAGTAAGAGCCTTACTGTTGATTTTAATGATCTGCATCAAATCAAACACGTTTGTTATCTATATAACTGCCTGATTATGGGTACAGAGTGCACCTGCTTCTATATATATATATTTGCATTGTCAGCGCCTGATCTTTCGACCAGCACATTACATTTCTGCCATTCATTGTTCCCAGTACTCAGTCAGAAATTTTAATTTCTGCTATGCTGCCTAATGTGCTGAAGCTAGATCCTTGTGTGATTAGCTGATTGCATTGACTTGGATAACTGTCCCTCCCCACACCCCCCAGCATGTTTACTTCTATTCATCTCTTTTGGACAGACTTCCTGACTTATGGTCCTGGCTGGAAATCAACCCTAATTATGAAAAGAGTTATTATATTATGCCAAACAATATAGAGCAATCAAAGAAGAACAAGTAACTGTATGCTCAGTGGGTTGTGTTATGTATGCCTTGAAATGAGCAGAGTTCCCATGCGGATACATTTGCATATATATAGTACCCACCTTAAATGTTTTTTGCTAGTGAGAGAGAATTTTCTCAGCAAACACCTATTTTTTAATCATAGTTAAAATGTATTTATGATACACCATGCTGTGTTTCAATAAAGGCTTCCCTTTGTGGTGGAATCTCGGTAAAAATAAATTTAGTAGGCCGAGATTACCACGTGGCATGTGTACGTGCATATGCTGACGTATCGATCAGTTGGTTGCACGAGGCAAGATACGATCAGTAGTGTACGGAGCATGTGCAAGAATACAGGATGTAGTATTCCCCTCCTCCATTGTGCTGGACAAGCCATGCGGTCAAGCAGGAAGTTAATTCTTATTTGTAATGATTGGTCAAGAGAATGTGCGGGTGGAGCTTAATATGGGAGGAGTTATGTGCCTATATAGGGAGCCTGCACTATTGTTCAGGGCTCAGAACTTGCTGTATTTTTGGTGACATTAGTCCCTCTGAGTCCCGATCGGTGATCCAATAAAGAATCTCTTCCTTCCTGAAGAAACCTGTGTCCATCCCTCTGTGCTTTGCTTCCGTCAGTTTCTCCGGTATCATTTGGTGCATTGGCCGGGAAGCTCATCGTTCAACGGTAGCTGAGAGGCAGAGGCGTGAGACGGTCTATCTTTGCCCACGTTCTCTACGGCTGCACCCCTGAACTTCTGCGTGGACCTCCCTTCGTCTCGGCGCCACTGGTCTGTTGTCCAGGAGATCATCGGCCTCTACGTAAGAAGTGCTGGGGTGTCCCCGTCGATGAGTGTGAACTCAGGTTCAGGAACGAGGAGGTAAGACAACTGCTGTTTTAGACGGCAGACCCACTAGGGGTATACCGATTGTGCGGTAGGCCCAAAAGGGGTTTAAATCTGTGTATGGAATCTGCCCCCTCTGTCGGAGGGAAGGAGCGAAGGCGCACCGCTCGATCGAACGCTCTTTAGTAAGACCGTTTGATCTGGTTAGTCAGGCGGGGTCCTGTGTAAATAGCCCTAGCCGGACACCGGTGTCTTGTCTAGACTAGCGTTCTAGGGTGTATATTACGTTCGCTAGGTCGGAGGGACCGGGAGACTAAGCGGCGCCTGTGTAAATTCGGTTCGCTAGCTCTCAACCTATCTTGGCTAAGTGGGAAGGCGTGTAAATTTGGAACCCACTAGACTTTTGATAGAGTAAATAGACTAGAAGGGCAATTTTGTAAATTTCGCCCTCTAGTTCGCTATATGTGGTGTTTGGGCAGTGTGGCTAACCAAAACGGGTGTATATAGTTTTAGGTAGTCCATTCAAGGTACTGGCCAATAGTTTAGTTGGGATTGTAAATGTGTTAAAGATTGTTAGTAAAGTGTATATCTTGTTAGATAGTGCGAGCTCAGCCGTCTAGCGAGAGTGTTAATAGTGTGTTGCTGTATCATAGTGCACGGTATCATAACCCTGTATATTTACTGACACTGTATATAAGTACTAATCATTGTCGTCTATTGCATGTTTAACACCGTAACCACTAATAATTGTATTGTGACCTTAAATTGTGCTTTGACCTATGCTAACCGTACTGTAACCGATACTAGTAAAAGACGATGTTACTGGGGTGTGTTATAGACGGGTAATTCATATATAGAGAATTATAGCGTGGGTGACTGTATAGTTTCGCCAAAGGGCATAATATTGATTATTTAGTGACTGGTGTAACAGCTGTGTGTGTACGGGAATTCCCTGAGTGATTATTGTGTTATTGTGTACGTTTCACTCGGTAACTGTACCACGTGGTGCTGTTGCCAGAGGAAACGGGTGTGACTGTTGAATAAGAACGCGTGCATAGTATTCGTTGTCAACGACGTTCCATTGATAAGTATGGGCGCGTCAGAGTCAACGATTTCGGATCCCTTGGGTTGTATGGTAAAGAATTTTAAAAAGGGATTCAAAACATGTGATTTTGGGGTTAAAATGTCTCCTGTACGTTTGGTCACTTTGTGCACTAGGGAGTGGCCTATTTTGGTTGCGGCATGGCCGCCGCGTGGCAGTTTGGATCCAACCCTGGTACAGCGTGTACACGTGGCTGTATCAGGTAGGCCTGAACTTTACGGACAGTTTCCATACATTGATTGTAGGGGGCAGGCCGTAAACGACTCGCCAAAATGGATTCGGATATGCCACGAGGAGCAATGTCGCCTCATGGTGGCCAGGACTTGTTTGTCCACTAGGACTGGTGTTAGGCCCATTTTGGACACGCCCCCTGAGTCCGAGATCCCTTTGCCGCCCCCTTACTTTCTTTTAAGAGGAAGTGACGGGAATGCAGGAAGTTCTGCACCCCTTCCCCTATTGCCCCCATCCACTTCCGCTTCCTCCTCCAGTACAGAATCCACCCCCCCTCGTATTAAAACTCCCCTTCCGGAACCAGGACCAGCCCCCATTAGATCTGAATATCCTGATTTGGCGCCACTTCAAACTTCCGGTCAAGCTTCTTCTAGCTCGGCTCGGAGTATACTATTCACTAACTTTTCCCAAAATCAAGTTCCCACATCCTCATACCCTATTACCTCTCGACCGGAACCTTTAACTGACGCCCCTCCACGTAGCCCCATACTAACCCGACAACTGACCGGTACCCAACAATTAAAACATTATCAGATGCCTCTTCGTCTGAATCCTGGGTCAGCATATATCGATGCCGCAGGTCAAATGGCACATGCTGACCCAGTCTTCGTATATGTCCCGTTCACGACTACCGATCTCTTGAATTGGAAGACCCACAATTCCTCGTACACTGAGAAACCACAAGCTATGACCGATCTGTTCACCTCGATAGTTCAGACACTTAACCCGACATGGGCTGATTGCCAGCAGTTATTAATGACATTGTTCAATAATGAGGAAAGGACAAGGATTAACCAAGCGGCCATTAAGGCGCTAGAGGAGAGAGCCCGTGCTTTAAATCAAGCCAATCCGGCAGCATGGGCCGCAACACATTACCCTAACACCGATCCTGACTGGAATGTAAATGGCGCAGATATGGCTCAACTTAAAGCCTATAGAGATACTATAATTGCTGGCATGAAAGCCGGAGGGAAGAAAGCTATTAACATGTCGAAGACAGTTGAGGTGATTCAGAAAAGTGATGAAGCGCCCAGTGTCTTTTATGACCGATTATTGGAGGCATACCGCTTGTATACCCCCTTTAATCCGGAAGGCGCTGATAATTCCCGAATGGTAAACTCCGCCTTTGTCAGCCAAGCTTACGGAGATATTAAGCGCAAGCTACAGAAATTAGAAGGGTTTGCAGGTATGTCTATCACCCAACTAATGGAGGTAGCGAACAAAGTATATATGAATAGGGAAACAGAAAGTAAGAAAGAGGAAGAGCGCAAGATGCGTAGAAAAGCAGATATGCTAGCGGTAGCGATCGCAGGCGTAGATAGACGGGGCCCAGATAGAGGCGATGGTAGATGGAATCAGTGCGCGTACTGTAAGGAAGAAGGGCATTGGAGGAACGAGTGTCCGCAAAGAGAGCAGTATGAGAGAGACTTACCCAGGGCAGGTTACGGAAACTTTAGAGGCAGAGCGAGAGGTAGAGGAGGCCCCGGAGGGAGTAATGGTAATAGAGGGAGTAATGGGAACAGAGGAAGTGTAAGGAAGATAGGTACTATCCAGCAGCGCAAAGGTCTCGCGATAGAGAAGGTAGGGACTTTGTGGGATTGGCTGACACGGTCATGGAGGACTATTGATACCGACCGGGCTCCATCCCCCTTGGTCGAGCGGAGCCTATGGTCGATGTATCAATAGGGGGAAAAAGGAGTGCGTTCATGATCGACACTGGTGCTGAACATTCGGTGGTGACTAATCTAGTTGCTCCACCATCTGGAAGAACTATTACTGTAATAGGAGCAACTGGAAGAAGTGCTGAAAA